CATTAAGATACTCCTTCGCCGTCGCGACCTGGCGAAAGTATACTCGCTCGGCGGGCGACAGGATGCGAGTAAGGGCAAGGTACGTAGAAGAGCCATGCGACACCCAAACCGAGTACGCAAGCTGGGACTTGTGGTGAGCCTCCAGCTCCCCCGAGGTGGACTCAACAGTTAAGGCAGGAAGACGCTCCGGGGTTGGTAGTTCATCCGACACGTGGGTGTACAGGTAGACGTTATCATGGCGCTGGATCTGCAGGTGGAGCTGGACATCGAGCAGCCACGCCTCAAAGTCGATCGCCTGCCCCTCTGGATCGAGTTGCAGTACGAACCCAGACGCCATAACAGGAGCGTGCAAGGGCACAACTCTTAGAATCTAGGCATCAATGAAGTTGACTATCGAGAGAATTGATACAAGGAGAAAACCCTAAGGGGTTATACCCCACAGTATCTACCCCACTACAGCCTACCCACAAAAATAACATATGCATATCTTTGACACACCCCCATAGGCAAAGTGGGGGAGAGCAAGAGGTCACAAGACCAGTCAAGAAAAGCAAAGCAAGCTCAGGGTGGATCACAACGTCACCACACACACTGAGCACAAGCAAAAGGCCACAAGGCCAGTTCACATGCAGAGGTATATATGCAATAAGAATAGTACAGTGATCTCTACCTAGCAAGAGCAAGCATGCAGGTATATATATATAGATCACAGTACAAGCAGAGTCTACAGCAAGTGTGGAAACGTAGGCACAAGGCCCAACAAAGTACAAAAGCGCTGATGATCACCAGACCGAAGTGCCTTGGTGAATATATCAGCAGTGTTGGCCCGAGTGGCCACGTGAGCAAGACGAAGCTGACCCCGCTGCTGCAACTCTCGAGCCAGGAAGTAACGCAGAGCGATGTGCTTTGTTCTGTGCTCCAGTCTGTGCTCCTGACACAAGGCAATGGCTGCCTTGTTGTCGACGTACAGAACTGGAGGAGAACGAGGCCTCTCTACCAAGTCGGTCAGCAGGTAGGTGAGCCAGCGTAACTCCTGTGCAGCCATGGCTGTGGCGTAGATCTCAGCCTCACAACTGGAGCCGAGAACAGAAGACGAGCGAGTAGACCGCCAAGAAATAGAGCCAGAGCCAAGACTGAAGGTGTAACCCTGTGACAACCGCTGCGTAGCCTGGTCGTCAACCCAAGAAGCGTCCGAGTGACCAGTGAGGACAACGTCGCCCCATCCTCCAAGCACGAGCCCCATCCCTGATGTACTACACAAGTAGCGCAGTACCCTCTTAGCAGCATCCATGTGCACCTTTCGGTGCCGACCAGGAGCCACGTAGCGAGCCAGAAGGCGAAGAGGGTACGCAAGGTCAGGACGAGTGCAGGTCATCAGGTACATGAGGCAGCCAACTAGCTCTGGGTAAGGACCACTCGGCTCTACGGACTCGTCCGAAGGTGGAGCTGAGAGCGAGTGACCTGTAGCCAGAGGAGTGGCCTGTGCCGAGGACCAGGTGAAGCCGAAGCGCTGAAGGACCTGCTGCACCATGTGTGACTGAGTCAGTGTGATGGTGCGGCGTGCTCTGTCCCGGGTGATCTGCAAGCCAAGGTAACTGCGCAGCTCACCCAGGTCTGTGCACGTGTGTCTCTTCAGCAACTCCGACTTCACCAGGGCGAGAGCCTCCGTGTCAGCAGTGGCAAAGACCAAGTCGTCGACGTACAGGCTGCCCTGTAAGAAAGCTGTGCTGAAGTCAAGAAAGTGAAGCTCGTAGTCACACTGAGCGGCAACATGCAGCAGTACCCGAAGAGTGGTCATCTTCGGGGTGGGGGAGAAGGTCTGGAAGAAGTCAACTCCCTCTCGCTGACTGAAGCCTCGAGCAACGTAACGAGCCTTGAAGACAGGCGGAGAACCTGGCGGCCGCTTCACCCTGAAAATCCACATGCCGTCGACGATGTTCGCCCCGGGAGGGGGAACCTCATCGACGTAGGTGCCTGTGGACTTCCAGGATGCCATTGTCAGAAGACTTGCACTGTGAGATCCCCGATTGATCCTTGGGGGGTTACAGGCCTGTTAGCCTGGGGGGTTATGGGCGCACTGACCCGCTACTGAAACAAGCCCTTTTATCCCAATGGTCTAGTGGTTGGGATTCTGACATGGTATCAGAGCGGTCTCGGGTTCGAATCCCGGTGTATGCACATGTAGGCCGTTGCCGCTGTGCCGAGTCCTGGACCTCCCAGTGTGGGGGGGTGTCAGAAGACTTGCATTGTGAGATCCCTGATTGATCCTTGGGGGGTTACAGGCCTGTTAGCCTGGGGGGTTATGGGCGCACTGACCCGCTACTGAAACAAGCCCTTTTATCCCAATGGTCTAGTGGTTGGGATTCTGACAGCCATCTCTGCGTCCATGGCTGTTTGCCACTGAGAAGAGTACTCACCCGCGATCGCCTCAGCGTAAGAGCGCAGAGTCGGGATGTCTGGTGCATCCGGGTCTCCCTCAGGGGCAAGCAGCATGGCCACGAGATGAGGCGCAGCGGCCGCAAGACACTCAAGGTCCTCGTGCCTGTCCTCAAGGACGTCCGTGCTAAGAGCACACTCACCCCCGACGGACGGAGGACAGACAGACTCAGACTCAGCAACAAGACTAGCAGCGTAGTCTAGACGACAGGCAGCAGCAAAGTCGACAAGCTCAGCTACTAGGGCAGACGCAGCAGTGGACTCAAACGACGAGTCAGTGACCACAGTGGCTAACAGACGCATGACAGTAGGGTGCTCAGTACGAAACTGGTCAGACTCAGGGTCCGCAACGTCAGGCAGAGAGGACGCAGGGGGAGAAGGCAGAGGAACACGCTGCGGAGGAGAGGAAGGACGACGGACTACAAGGTGGGTGCCGGGGACAGCCGGCTGACGCGGACGAGGAACACGACGACCGGAACGACCAGAACGGACAGGCGAGACAGGACGCGACGCAGGCTCACGACGCTCAGCAAGGCCCCCTGTCTGCTCAGTGTAAGGAGAAGGAGCAGGCAGCGGCGAGCCAGGCTGTAACGGAAGACCAGTAGACGAAGGGAGACTGAGAACCTGGCGAAGCGCAGAGTCAGGCGGTGGCTGAGACGACGGAGACGGCGGAGCGAAGAACAGGCGCGGCTGTGCAGTGCCACCAGCACCAGCAGCTCCAGCACCTCCAGCAGCTCCAGTACCCTCAGCAGCTCCAACACCTCCAGCAGCTTCAGAACCCGCAGCAGCTCCAGCACCTCCAGCAGCTCCAGAACCCTCAGCGCCAGCTCCTCCAGGACCAGCTCCACCAGCTGCAGCACCCCCAGAACCGGCTCCGCCAGGCTCAGGGTCTCCAGCAGTAGCACCCTCAGACACAGTACCTCCAGCCCCAGCAGCTCTAGTACCTCCAGTACGAGCACCTCCGGGACCAGCGGCTCCAGCTCCTCCAGTAGACAAAGGACCAGCACCACTCTCAGCTCCAGTGACGTCAGCAGAAGTACCTCCAGCAGCAGAGCCCCGAGCTCCAGAAGCGCGACCCTGACAGCGACCGTACCAGTCGTGCAGCTGCTGTGAGGTGAGAGGCACACGCGGACGAAGGCGGCTACTCCAAGGAGACCGCGCAGCAGCAGACTCAGAACCCTCAGGCGTCGCACCCCCAGACTCAGTACCCCCAGTCTCCTCACGCACGGGCTCAGCACCTCCAGACACAGCACCCCCAGGCTCAGGACCTCCAGGCTCCTCACGTGCAGGCTCAGCACCTCCAGGCTCCTCACGCTCAGGCTCAGCGCCCCCAGACTCCGCACCCCCCGGCTCAGTACCTCCTGGGTCCTCACGCGCTGGCTCCGCACCCCCAAGCTCAGCACCCCCAAGCTCCGCACCCCCAGGCCCAGCACCCCCAAAGACAGCACCACCCCCAGCAGGACCTGAGTCACCAGTGACCTCAACAGGCGCAGGCACGGGAGGGTCTACCTGAGAAACACCTGAAGGAGCAGGACCTAGCGCGGGGAGGGGGTCTACCTGGTGAGGACCTGGGGCAAGAAAGAGCGGCGGGGGGGGGCGAGGGGCAGTGCGGTAGGGAAAGAGACGGTAAAAGGGGACGGACTCGTCAAAGGTGACGTCCTGAGACGGAAAGACACGACGCGAGGCGGGGTCGTAAAACTGCCAGCCAGGCGTGTCAGGGACAAAGCCAAGGAAGACGCAGGGAATGGCGCGAGCAAAGAGCTTGTCCGCGGTGGTATCGCGGACAAAGGCACGAGCACCCCAGACCCGGAAACGCGACGCATCGCCAACCTTCCCCGTCCACAGCAGTGTGGGCAAGGTCTCCGGCAAGGAGACACGGGGCCAGAGGTTGAGCTGATGCGCGGCGTACCGGACCGCAAACGGCCACAGAAAATGGGGGGCAGCCGCATGGATCATGGAGGTACGAGCGACCTCCATGACTAAGCCAATGCGACGCTCAGCAACCCCATTCTGCTGCGGAGAGGCCGGAAGCGTGAACGTCTGGCGGATGCCGTGCTCCGCACAGAAGGCTGCCAAGAGGTCTGAGGAGAACTCACCACCCCTGTCAGAGTGCAGACGCAGGACAGGAAAGTCCGAGTGGAACCGCTCGCGGAGCTGGAGACGAACAGCGCGGATCCAGGGGATCAAAACATCAGGGACCTCCCCTTTGCGCTGCAAGGGGAAGACCGTGGTGTAACGCGTGTAGTCGTCGACGACCAGCAGGAAGTACCGCTCGTGGCCCTGTCCACGGACGCGGGCTGGGCCCCACACGTCCAGGTGGAGAGTCTGCAGTGGAGCCTCTGTGGGAGGGAACGAGGAGGAGTGAGGAGCGGCGCGCTGCCGCCCCTCGACGCAAGGAATGCAGGGCGGCGCAGGCGAGGAAGGGAGGGCAGGGAGAGACCTGGGAAGGCCAGAGACCAGGAAGCGAGAGTGCATGCTACGAAGGCGAGGCAGGGAGGCGTGACCAAGGCGGTGGTGCCACAAGAGAGTGTCGTGCGACAGTCGGCGACACTCACACTGGGTAGCTACCTGAGCAGACGCGTACAGTTGGGGAGACAAAGGGGTGGAGTGTGACGCAGTGGTGAGGGTGTACAGACTGGACCCAGGCGCACGTGTGAACGTGGCCAGGTGACGGCCGGTCCGGGAGCACGTGCAGATCGCCACACGCTGTCCTCCAGGAGTAAAGGTGTCAACCCAGTGATCCTGAAGGACGGCGTTGCTCACCAAGTTCGTAGAGAACGAGGGGAGGTGGAGACCAGACAGCTCACCAGACGGGACTGCGGACACGGAAGCACAGTGGAAGACCGTGCAAGCACTGGGCCCCCAGAGGGGTCAGCCAGTGAGACAGGAACAGGTGCAGGGAGGGGAGTGACTGTGGTGCTGTCACGAAAGAAACAGCGGGAAGCACCAGAGTCAAGTGTGAAGGTGTGCAAGGCCTGTGCGGACGCAGTACCAGGGGGAACAGACTCACAAGCACCTAGTGCCACAGGCGCTATACCTGGGGCTATACCGGGGTCAGGCGGCACACACAAGTAGCAGTCACCCTCAGCACTAACAGTCAATGCATACATGGCAGCAAGAATATTCTCATAGTCAAGATCAAAGATAGGTACATCACGCCTAAGCAGGTCTGCCCAGTTGGGGAACTCAGTAGCATCAGGAAACTTGACGCGCCAGGCGTCGCTAAGCCAAGCGAAGCAGCGGTACTCAGTGTGAAACCTTGTGCACTGGCGACCAGCGCGGGGACCAGTGCGAATGATATAGGGGCAGCGACCAGGACCCCCAGACGCCCCACGCCCAGCATACCAGTCAAGAAGCTGCTGGGAAGTGGGGGTCTGGCGCTGACGCTGCTGCTGCTGCTGCTGCTGCTGCTGCTGCTGTCCCTGGCCACCACCGGCCTCACCCAAGCCCCCACCACCGCCGCCACCACCACTCCCCCCTCCGCCACCCCCGCCGCTGCCACCGCCACCGCTCCCGGCACCACCACCACCCCCACCACTACCTCCACCCCCACGACCGCCCCCGCCGCCTCCACCACCGCCCCCTCCACCGCCACGTCCGCCACCCCTGCCACCCTTGCCTCCCTTGAAGCCGCTGCGCTTCCCACTCGGAGCGGAAGCAGCTGCGACCTTCTCAGCACCAAGGAGGTCGACAGAAGCAGCTGCGGAGGCGTAGGAAGGGGTGAGAGGGGAGGGGGAGCACCCCTCAAAGAGGGGAGTGCGGGGAGTGCCACGAGCAGCACCTACAGCTAGAATGTTCTTCTCGGCTGCTAGGAGGTGCTTCTCGAGGTCGTCGACAGTGAGAGAATGGGGGTCAAGGGCGAGGAAGTGGTCCCTGACTGAGCGAAGAGTGTCAGGGAGGCGGGTGATGAGGAAATAGAGAGTAAAGTACATCGGGGGGTGGTTCTCTGCGAGGAACTCGGCTGGAAGGGCGGCACGAAGGCGAGTGTCACTAGCGCGTAGGTGAGAGATGAGGTCCTCAGCGGTGGTAAATGAGGACAGGTCGGGGAACAAGTAGGGTAGCATAAGTCGACCGAGGGCTGCAGTGGCCGGGGAAGAGTAGCGGGCAACTACAGCGTCGTACAGCGCCTTGGCAGTCTTGTGCTGGCTAAAATGCGCGCGCTCTGTGATCGGAAGATGGTTGCGAATAGCGAGGCGCGCAGCAGCATCGCGGGTCTGCCACTGGGAGCGGTCTAGAGCAGGCGCAGTGTCAGCAGGAGCAACGGCAGTGCCAGACACGTAATCATACAGGGAAACACCGTCCTTGGCATCAGTCAGAAGGAACAGTTGCAGGTCGTCAAGCCAGGTGGTAAACTCTACTGGGCGACCGTCAGGATCGAACGCGAGCACGTTGAGAGTCGCCATGCGTGCAGCGTAGGCAAGTCTAGTGCGCAGGCGGCAAGGCAAAAGGCAAGCAAGGAGAGACTGCGTGCAAGGCTGCAGTGGCGGCGCACGGACTGCAGTGGCGGTGCACGGACTCCTAAGGCAGCACGGAGGGCAGCAGTGGGCCGCGCGTGGGCCTCTAAAGCGGCGCGCGGTGCAGCAGCGGGCCGCACACAGGCTCCTAAGGCGGGGCACGGTGCAGCAGTAGGCCGCGCGCTGGCTCCTAAGGCAGCGCGCGGAGCAAGTTGCGGGCTGCACACCGGAGGAGGCGACGCGCGGGGCCGGCGGCAGGCTGCGCGGGCGGCTGACGTGGCGCGCGGGGCCGAAAACGGGCTACGCGGGCGGCGGACGCGGCGCGCAGGGCCTAAGCGGGCTGCGCGCGGGCGGCTTACGCGGCGCGCGGGCCGGCGGCAGGCTACGCGGGCGGCTGACGTGGCGCGCATGGCAAAAAACGGGCCTAAACGGGCCTAAACGGGTTGTGCGGGGGCTGCTTAAGTGGCGCGCGCGGGAAAAAAAAGAGGTCGCGCGCGTGCAGCCGAGGCGCGCGCGGGCAGCAGGCAAGGCCGGCAGGCAAGTGACGTAACATGGTAACGGGTGGGCCCTAATCTTAGGTCCTAAAGACCTCTAGGCTCTAGATACCATCTTAGTGTGGAAAGGAGAACGCGAATGGATGAACTATGAATGAAGTGAGTACATATAGGAAACCCTAATTGGGTTGTACCCCCTATGGGATACCCCACTATAGCCTACACAACAGCATAAGCTATATAATGTTCTGACACACCCCCATAGGCAAAGTGGGGGAGAACAAGGGGTCACAAGACCAGTCACGCAAAGCACAGCAAGCTCAGGGTGGATCACAAAGTCACCACACAGTCCGAGCACAACGACAAGGCCACAAGGCCAGTTCACATGCAGGAGGACACATATATATATAGAGCTAGACAAGCAAGAGCAGGTATATATATGTGACAGTACAAGCAAGGTCAAGAGGAGAGCAAGTGAGGCAAGACAGGTACAAGATCCAACTGAGTGCAGAAGCGCTGATGGTCACAAGGCGCAAGTGCCTTGGTGAACACATCAGCAGTGTTGGCCTCAGAGGCCACGTACGCAAGTCGCAACTGACCACGCTGCTGCAGTTCACGAGCAAGAAAGTAACGGAGAGCAATGTGCTTCGTTCTGTGCTCCAAGCGCTGCTCTCGACACAAGGCCAGCATGGCCTTGTTGTCTACGTACAGCACTGGAGGAGAACGAGGCTGCTCTCCAAGGTCAGTCAGCAGGTAGGTGAGCCAGCGAAGCTCCTGTGCAGCCATGGCCCCGGCGTAGATCTCAGCCTCACAACTGGAGCCGAGAACAGAGGACGAGCGAGTAGCCCGCCACGAGACAGAGCCGGAACCAAGACTGAAGGTGTAACCCTGCGACGACCGCTGCGTAGCCTGGTCGTCAGCCCAAGAAGCGTCCGCGTGCCCAGTGAGGACCACTGGACTCCGCCCTCCAAGCACTAGCCCCATGCCCGACGTACTGCACAAGTAGCGCAACACCCTCTTCGCTGCAGCCATGTGCTCTGGTCGGTGTCTCCCAGGAGCAACATAGCGTGCAAGAATGCTAAGAGGGTATGCAAGGTCAGGTCGTGTGCAGGTCATCAGGTACATGAGGCAGCCAACAAGCTCTGGGTACGGGCCACTCGACTCTACGGACTCATCCGAAGGCAGAGCTGAGAGCGAGTGGCGAGTAGACAGAGGAGTGGCCTGAGGCGAGGAGTACGTGAAGCCGAAGCGCTGAAGGACCTGCTGCACCATGTGTGACTGAGTCAAGGTAATGGTGCGGCGTGCTCTGTCCCGAGTGATCTGCAAGCCAAGGTAGCTGCGCAGTTCACCCAGGTCTGTGCACGTGTGTCTCTTCTGCAGCTCGGACTTCACGTAGGCTAGTCCAGCAGTGTCAGCTGTGGCAAAGACCAAGTCGTCGACGTACACGAGGATGTAGAACGGCGGCAAAGAAGTGTCGGTGCGCAGAAACAACGACGGGTCAGCAGTAGAGGGAGCAAACCCAAGAGCCGCAAGCGTAGTCCTCAGTGTGTCGTGCCACTCACGTGGTGCCTGGCGGAGACCGTAGACTGGCCGTCGGAGGCTCCACTGGGTGCCAGGAGGGAAAGTCCCAGTGAAGCCAGGTGGACGGCGCAGCCAGATCTCCTCGTGCAGGCTACCCTGCAAGAAAGCAGTGCTGAAGTCAAGAGAGTGGAGCTCGTAGTCGCGCTGAGCGGCTATGTGCAGCAGCACCCGAAGAGTGGTCATCTTCGGGGTGGGAGAGAAGGTCTGAAAGTAGTCAACTCCCTGCCGCTGACTGAAGCCACGAGCGACGTACCGCGCCTTGAAGACAGGTGGAGAGCCCGGCGGCCGCTTCACCCTGAAGATCCACATGCCACTGACGATGTTCGCCCCAGGAGGGGGCACCGCGTCAACGTAGGTGCCTGTGGACTTCCAGGACGCCATCTCTGCATCCATAGCTGCCTGCCACTGAGAGGAGTAGGGACCCTCTACGGCCTCCGCGTAAGAGCGCGGAGTCGGGATGTCTAGTGCATCCGGGTCTCCCTCAGGGGCAAGTAGTACGGACGCGAGATGAGGTGAAGCAGCAGCCAGACACTGGAACTCCTCCTGCCTGTCCTCAAGGACGTCCGTGCCAAGAGCACACTCACCCCCGACGGACGGAGGACAGACAGACGCAGACTCAGCAACAAGACCGGCAGCGTAGTCTAGACGACAGCGAGCAGCAAAGTCGACGAGCTCAGCAGCAAGCGCAGACGCAGTAGTGGACTCAAAAGAGGGGTCAGTGACGACAGTAGCAAGGAGACGTGTGACAGTAGGACTAGCAGCACGAAGAGAGTCGGACTCTGGGTCGGTAAGTGCAGGAAGGGAGGACTCAGGAGGAGAAGGCAAAGGGGCACGCAGAGGAGCAGTGGACGGACGCAAAGACATCCGGTGCGTGCCAGGGACAGGAGGAGGACGCTGACGCGAACCGCGACCACTAGCGCGAGCAGCACGAACAGGCGACGCAGGACGAGACGCAGGCTCACGACGCTCAGCAAGACCTCCAGTGGGACCAGTGTAAGGAGAGGGAGCAGGAAGTGGGGAGGCGGGCTCTAACTGGGACTGTGACTGAACAGGCGGTGGACACGCTGCAGGAGGAGAAAGACCAAGAACCTGCTGTAGGAGTGGAACAAAGTACGGCCGAGGCCGCGCGGCGACTCCAGACACAGCAGGGACAGCACCCTCAGCAGCAGCACCAGCGCCAACAGCACCTCCAGCGGCAGGACCTCCAGCAGCACCAGCAGCACCCGCAGCAGGACCACCGCCAGGAAGGACAGCAACAGTCTCAGCACCAACACCCGCAGCAGCTCCAGCTCCAGGCGGACCCGAGGGCCCAGCAGCTCCGGGACCAGCGGCACAAGTACCCTCAGCAGCCGAAGGAGCTCCAGCTCCAGCAGTACGTCTCCAGCGGCGAGCAAACCACTCGCGCAGCTCCTGTGGAGAGAGGGGCTCCCGCCGAGGCGAAGCACCCGGAGAACCGCCAGGTCCCGCACCGCCAGACGCCACAAGGGGAGGTCCAGTGGCCGCAGGCTCCGCAGCTCCAGGCTCAGCAGCTCCAGACGCAGCACCCCCTGGCTCAGCACCCCCAGTCGCAGCACCCCCAGGCTCAGCACCCCCAGACTCCGCACCCCCAGGCTCAGCACCCCCAGTCGCAGTACCCCCAGGCTCAGCACCCCCAGACTCAGCACCCCCAGGCTCAGCACCCCCAGGCTCAGCACCCACGCGCGTAGCACCCCCAGAGTCAGCACCCCCAGGCTCAGCACCCGCAGCAGGACCAGAGTCACCAGCAACCTCGACCGGCTCGACTGCGTCTACCTGGGACACACCTGAAGGGGCAGGACCCTGAGGGGGAAGGGGGTCTACCGGGGGGGGACCTGGCACAAGGAAGTGCGGTGGCGGGGGGAGGGAAGGAGTGCGGTAGGGGAAGAGGCGGTAGAAGGGGACTGACTCGTCGAACGTGACGTCCTGGGAGGACAGAACACGACGAGAGGAGGGGTGGTAGAACTGCCACCCTGGGGCGTCAGGGGGGAAGCCGAGGAAGACACAGGGAGCAGCACGAGGGGACAGCTTGTCCGCAGACAAGTCGCGGACAAACGCCCGAGATCCCCAGACACGGAACGCAGACGCATCGCCGACCTTCCCCGTCCACAGCAGAGCTGGGGAGGTCTCCGGCCGGGAGACCCTGGGGTGAAGGTTGATCTGATGCGCCGCGTACCGAACCGCAAACGGCCACAGAAAATGGGGGGCAGCCGCATGCATCATGGACGTACGAGCGACGTCCATGACCATGCCAATGCGGCGCTCAGCAATCCCATTTTGCTGTGGAGAGTCCGGAAGCGTAAAGGTCTGGCGGATGCCTCGTGCACGACAGTAGGCTCGCAGAAGGCCAGAGGAGAACTCTCCACCTCGGTCAGAGTGCAGACGCAGAACAGGAAAGTCCGAGCCGAAGCTCCTCCTGAGCTGGAGACGAGCTGCGCGGATCCAGTCGATCAACACCTCAGTGACATCACCCTTGCTGCGCAAGGGGAAGACTGTGGTGTAACGCGAGTAGTCGTCAACCACCAGCAGGAAGTAGCGCTCGTGACCCTGCCCACGGACGCGGGCCGGGCCCCACACGTCCATGTGAAGCGTCTGCAGAGGAGCCTCTGTCGGGGGAAACTGGGAGGAGTGAGGGGCAGCCCGGAGCCGCCCCTCGACACAGGGGACACAGGAAGGTCCGGGTCCCGAAGGAAGGGGAGGGAGAGACCGGGGAAGACCAGAGACAAGGACACGGGAAGCCATGCCCCGAAGACGAGGCAAGGAGGGGTGGCCAAGACGGTGGTGCCACAGGAGAGTCTCCTGAGACAGGCGGCGACACGAGCAGGGGGCAGACTCAGGACCAGACCTGGACGCAGCAGC